CAGTCGCACTGCACTTTCTGTCACGTGCACTTTTACTAAAGCATCTGTACAAATGCGTTTTTTAAGCAGCACCTTCAGTTAGAGGAGATGCCCGTGGATCACATGGGTCATGAAAACAGCTCCACAAAAACAGTACAACTGAATCAGCTTTACCTATAACACAACCAGGAATTAGAATCACGTTAAGGGCTCAGTCACATGACTCCCCTGATGATATCATCCTGAATTTCACTAGAATACACAGCAAACCAAGGGATAAACCTACACACAAAGAGACAGAAGTGTCTGAATGTCACAGAGTTTCCAAAGCACTTCCATGAGCAAACAATCAAAACAGTAAAGGCCATGGGGAAGCGGTACGTTTCAGAAAGTACCTTAACTCCAGTCTGACAGACATCTGACTGCAGGACACATCCAGGAGCAAAAAGAGAGATTTCAGACCAGACACTACAACAGAACTAAAAAAAAATTATTCCATCTAAATGTTTCACACACCGATTTCAACTAGTTTCTGCATCCCTTGTCATGTCAGTCTGAATTACCTGTCATGCAAATACAACAAATCATTACCTAAAAAATAAACAATATCAAGTGTTTGGTTTCATTGTCAGGGAGCTGTGATATTATTCTAAATTTTGCATTGTTAAAAAATGTTGTGTAATCATCATTATCAAGGTAAATAGTTCAAATATTGTGATATTGATTTTTAGGTCATAACACCCGGCTCATGTATGTGGACAATTCTGTGAAGTCCAAAGATAAAGTGAATGAGCTTCAGGAGAAGGAGAAACGTCATGACAATTAGGCAAGTAAATAAAGTCATTTTAACAACATTTAGTGTGACAACAGGGGAAAAGGGCTGATGAGCAAACTGATGCTCTGTTCAAACTAATATTGTGACCAAAAAAAAAATCACCATCAAAATGCTTAGTGACTGTCTATCAAAGGGTGCTGTCTTATGAACAACAAAGGGATCAAGATCAATAGATCAATTAAGATATATGCTTAGTACTAAACCTTATGAAAGGGTTGCGGACCCTAGTCTGTTTGCCAGAGTCTAGGCCATTAAAAAAAACTGATGGCCGGACTGGGGAGGGGGACAGTCGACTGGCGTCTTAGACACAGCACAGAAAACAAAACCCTTTATTACCTGCCTCAGGTATTAAGGTGGTGGACAATAACAAAAATGTGGAGTGGATGGAGGACCTGGGACTGGACTGGGTTAAAAAGCACTGCCTTTGACATTACGTATGACCTCTTAAGCAGTTAAATTGAGCTAGATACAAACAAACTAGCTGGAAGCTAACAGGGAGCTCATAAATTATTGTTAAATAAAAGGGAAATAACAGCTAACAAAACCATCCATCTAAACCAAGCCTTACCCTGCGCAAGGTCCTGGAGGTCCGGGGTACACCCTGGAAGGAAGGCCACGCCACACATGTCCGCAGTCATATATTATGGGCAATTTTAGAGACCGGTGGTCCACAAAGCAGGATTTCTCACTTAGCTGGGTTAACTTCAGATAGATGTTATGACCGTCCAATCAGAGTATAGGTAAGGAGCATTTCTATTGGACAATCATGACAATCAGTTTAAATTAAACCAGCTAACTGAGAAATCCTGCTTAATGGTACACCCTCCAGCTCATCTTCATGGTTCAGTTGTCATCAGTACATCTGACATAAAGGTTTATGTACCTGGACCCTCAACTGTTACTGTTATTACATGTAGTACTGTGCGGTATAAATGGTATACGATATAAATTTGGCCAACGGGAGAGATTTTGATTATACCGCCCTGCCGCAGATTTTTCCGCTCCTCGGCCGCAAAAATGACATAATCAAGTGGCGTCAAATAATAAATAATTTCTTATTTATATATGAAAATTATTTATATGAATATTGCTGCACCTGGCAGCAGGGTCCTGCACGGGTCTGATTTTGACAAACCGCACCCGCCCATACCCGTCATACTTAAACCCGTATCTGAATCGTTATCCGACAGAAATAAAATTAAACTCCGCACCCGAACCCACCCGCTATAAATGCAGACACCCGACAATCAAATGGGGGAATAAAACTAATATTATATGAAATGTACATTAGGCTACCCTGCACATTATTAGGTTTTATAGGCTATACCTACGTGCATTGTCCATTTTCCTTTGATTACCCGATTGGAATTCCTACGCGAAGGCATAGACTAGTGTTTGGTGCGGTGCTTTATATTACTCTGTAAAAAATGGATATCGTCCACAGTTGATGGCCTCAGCTGACTCCTTCGCTCCTGGATGACAGATCCGCACATGAGAAATCTCACTCACTTGCGGCGCTGGATGCCGGGATAGCGAGAGTAGATCTTGCAATATGAGCAATATTGAGAAACAAACGCTCATGCTCTCCCCACCAAGACAAGACGTCAAAAGAGTTGTTTTCATTATCTGAGATAACTACGAAATTCTCCCACACGTCGGACTTGATTTTAGTGGAGGTACTGGCCGCAACTACACTTGCTAGTTTTCTTTTCAACTCCTCAGCATCCATTTCGAACAACTGCAGGAGATCGCGCGGGCTTTTTGAAAATGAAAGTGGGAGAGATTTCCGGGAATGCGCGTGCAGGCATAAACTGATGTGGATTCTACGTTTTATCATCTTGAATGCAGGGATTTTTTGTGTGTCACTAAAATATAGCCCCCCCAAGGGTATTTTTTTGTTGGCACATGATGTTTTGAAAACCGCAATTTCGACCCGCGCTCTCCTGCGTCCGACCCGAACCCGTATCCGACACAGTAGAATATTTTTCACCCGTTTCATCAAAATTTGTGGGTCACCCGTCGGGTACCCGGACCCGTGCAGGACTCTGCCTGGCAGGACCTTTATGGGAGAGATGGTCATTCTAATATAGATGGAGTTATGACAGTAGTCTAATTGTATTAGTTTTGTAGCTTTTGGTTCTGTGTCTTGTTTTCTGCTTACCTACAGTTTACAAAAACAACCTGTGTTTTTAATGTAAGATAAAACGAGGGAAGTTACCTGAAATCTTTTCATATTTTTTTCTATAATTGCAGATTTGCACAATAAATATTCTACATTCACGACTACTTTGAAATGTGTTAACAGTTTATTATACAACTTCCTGCTGCAATGCCTTTGCTATGGACATATGTTACCCTTTCAAAAATAGTTATGAAATTTACAGATCAAATTATATACCGCAATATATACCGTCTACCGTCTATGGTTCAAATGATACCGCAATATGAATATCATGCCATATCGCACAGCCCTAGTTACATGTCATACATAAATAATAATATTTAATATAATTAATATTTAATATATAACATTAAAAGTAACAAATAAAAAGGCAGCATTGACTCCAATAATAATAATATCAACTGTACAACACAGACGTACCGGGAAAATTATTTTAGATCAGGGCTGCACAATACATCGTTTTAGTGTCATGCACAATAATCACATAGTATGTGTCACAGCTTTCTGTCTGTTGACACGACTCGCGGCAATATCACCAACTTATCTGACATACTCTATCGGTAGATGATAAGTTCTATTTGGCCATAGTTTATTTTGGGTAATTTTCTAAAAATGTATCAAATTGTGTATATTAAATTATTAACTAGGCTACGTGCCAAAGCCAGAATGACACGTAAGAGTGCTGTAGTGTGTGGGCTCTTCTTTCCCAAAAATTTTGCTGTTATTAATCCTTAAAGATGGCTTTTGGAAGACCTCAGATCTCAGAATGCTATCATCACATTACCATGTATCTTAATATCAGTGTGGAGGACACCAAGAAGATCCAAAGAGGAAACGTTAAGCCTGACATCCATAAGCAGTGATGCCATATCCACAACTAGGGAAGATCAGATTCTCCTATAACTGTAGAGTTAATCATATCACAGAAGGCATTCAAAGGGAAAACATGTCTTGGTCATCTTTCTATAAACACTTGGCCTGATGACCATATTTAGGTTGAACAAAGTCACACATTCTCTGTGGGACTTGTGGGGGTTTATGAAACCATTTAACATGTTCCCCACGGTACAATTCAAAAGCTAAGTGAAACAACTGAAACCCTGAGGCACTGCAATCTGGCTGTAAAACCCTGTATGTCTCACAATGCATTCTACAAATACAACCATTACACCAAATAAATAACAAACCAGTCAGCTGTGGTGAACTTTGTATTGTTTAAGTGGCATTACAGATGTCTTCAAAGCAGTGATATCTTTTACACAAACATCAACCAACCATAAGTGTATCTGCTTTGCTTGAGCTATGTCCACACATCCTCAACCTGTCAGAACAAAAGTTAGCCAGATACCTGCAGCAGATAACTGCCTAGAAAGATGGCAAAGCCAGTCCTTAACTATTATTCTTCATTAATGTAAGGAGCCATATTACGAAAACCATCTTCGTAACTCTTCCTCCTGACATGGCTGTGAATCTGTGAAGCAAGCAGATGGCTACTGAGGCCTAAGCAATGCTTCACTCCCCTCCCCACCTTCCAACTCATTCCCATCCTCAACTGCGACGCCTGACCGGGGGATGGGAGTGAACCTGATCTCCATCCGTTTCCAGGTCTGATCCCATTTCATGCTTTTATTAGCTTCTATGCGCGTCCTACCACGCCGGTTTTACGAAAAACTGCGCATTTATCTTGTCTTGCCTTTCGGATCATCAGAAACCAAGGTATTACCGGTTATTCGATCGGTACTACAATGTAAATAGCCTACATACCATAAATGTCCATTAAGCAGCGTCAGCGCACAGGGTGCAGAGCCTCCACGATCTCCGGCCCTTACGGAGGGCCGGGCACCCATCTGCGACACTACTCCCCATTCAGCTGTATGGCAGCTTGGACCATCATTAGCCCCGACATTACCGTCGGGGCAGAAAGAAGCGCTTCCCCGGGATCGCAAGGTGGGCAGACGCGCTCCTTTTAAGTCATAAAACGCGGATCCCCCCCATGGTACTCACTGCGATCACATTGACGAAGGTGGTCTTTCCCGAATACTGCAGACCCACCAAGGTGAGCTCCATTTCCTCCTTCCAGAAGAGGGACCGGAACCAGTCCAAGAGCCGGTTTATCAGAGCCAGCATCTTCGTATCCGGGGAGAAAGCAGGCCACGAAAAGAGGGGAAAAAAGGGACAGACAGGAGACTCTGCCTCCGATCCGCCAGCTGTCTGCAGGAAGTGCGCGGTCATATGACCGTCAACCTGGGAGGAGAGTCGGCTCACGACATCTACTGGTGCATTTCTCGCACTTCTCTGCGATCTGCAGAAAGGCTTATAAAATCCAGCTTTTTCAGCAAGGGACCACACAACTTTCTCGTGCGCTCTGCATGCGATAATCATATTTGCTTATAACGGTGTTTTACTTCGTGATCCAGATAAAATAGTGTCCTCGTTCAACCTAATCAATTCACAGCAATCGAATATGGAAAGTATAGGAGACATATCCAGGGGTTTATATAAATGCTTAGTATCATCGAAGTAGCTCTTCGGTTAAATGGTTCGAAGATGTAGGTTTTCATACTATTAAGTTACAAAGCAGATATTTTAACACGTATCCATTATTTGCAACTTGAAAATAACCGTTGTTTCCATAAGGGTACCAGACAGGTGACGCGTAAAAGTTTCGTCCTCCTTTAACCTAAAATGAGTATTGTGTTATTAATGTCAAAAATATACCCAAAATACAGAGGACTTAAAAATCAAACACTTCCAAAACTGTTTTAGCAAAACAGGCCATGTGTGTTAATCTCATTTTACTATGTCCAGTAGAGTCTGTAACCAGATAATCTGTATCTAAGGGGGCAGCATGCGGCTCAGTGAGCTAAGCCTGTGTGCCTGTAATCAGAAGGTCACCGGTACAAGCCTCAGCCTCATGGCCTTTAACCCCCAGGTCCCTGGGCCCCCCAACACGCAACTGAAATCAGAGACCATCAGCCAGAATCTGCCGTCAGCTTATATTGTATGGATCTTAGAGAACCATCAGCATGACAAAGCAACCATGATATTGTGGAAAACCTTCTGTAACAAGATTAAATTAATAACTATAAATTAAGCCTATTAAATTAAGCAAAACAATCTAAATAATAAAAAAAATGCTCATAGTTTGTTTGCTTTTAAAATTCTCAGCTTCTGCACGTCTAGCCCCATATCATGACTTTGAAAAGTGTTTTTTAGAAGTTTGTTACAGATCCATACAGAGTTCGTATATTTTCTAAAATTAACATAACATCCGACTGCCGAAGAAATTATCTGCAAAAAATACTGAGTAACCATTACTCCAATTAACACATTGGAGTGAAGTGTAAGTGAATCTTTCTGCCACAAGATGGCGTGGTAATACTACAGAAGATGTGCTGGACAGCCTTGAAGGCTTTGCGTTTTATCTGTGTTTTTCATCGATGATACGATCCAGTTCCTCTCTCACGCGAGGTTAAAAAAATTCAAAAACGAAATTAATGTTTAATTTAGTTATAGCTAATAGCAGATTACAGATCCATGTTTTAGTCCAGCTTAAGTAGTGCAGTGTCATATGTTGAGGACATCGAAAATGTTGAATTTCATTCAATAAAAAGCAACTAAAATAATTTATAGATTTGTTTGTACATTGACAATTATACTTTATGCAGGTTTTCCATAACTTGGGTCACAAATGTTACTCACCTGAGTAGTTCAATGATACAATATAGAATTCACTTTTAACTGTTTAAGCTCATATATAAAAACACTTATATATACTCATGAAAAAAACTATATATTTAAATATATATATATATATATATATATATGTTTCTAGTAGCAGTCCATGCAAACCTCCCATTCAACTGAATTTACCTGAATTATTATTATTATTATTATTATTATTATTATTATTATTATTATTATTATTATTATGTGGCAGAAGTACATCATAAATATTGTGACATTTAATACAGTGTGAATTTTCATGTATGTGCGTTATTGAAAATAATAAAACATTTATTACCATTTATATCTGGTATTTGAATGTAACAATAAATGCAACAATATAAAATCTATAAATATAATTATGTTAGTAAAATGTGTGATTGGTCATTGACAAAACAGATTTTGTAAATTCAGGTATAACCAGATGCACTGTTAAAAAGGGTACTAATTTGTACCTTTGCTTGTCACTGGGTCTGTACCCTCAAGGATCTGCCAGTTGTACCCTATAGCTGTAGGAAAATGTATATTTTAAGGTACAGAAATGGATTCTGAGGAACATCCCTAATGTACAAACAATATTAATGTACCCTCAATGGTACAAAAATGTTCATCATAGTCCATTTATGTACCTTACAAGATACATTTACCTACAGCTAGGGTAAAACTGGCAGACCCTTGAGGGTACAGCCCCAGTGACAAGCAAAGGTACAAACTGGTACCTTTTTCTGACAGTGTGGCAGGACAGAGGCATACCTGTATAACACTGAGAAGATTCCACTCCCTTAGCTAGAACATGCTGTTCTCGTACAATTTAGCATCAGCACTTCTTATGAGTGTGTGTCATGCTAATTAACAGGGATTTTGTCAGCAGGGGCGTCGGAAGAGCATGGATACCACAGCAGATTTAGGGGCCCCCAAAATACAAAATATAATTTCAGCAAAATGTGACATTTTGGCGGGAGCTCCAGAACTTCTAGCTACGCCTCTGATTGTCAGGGCTATTAATTGTTGGTAACATCAACTTTACTACCATTTAAATGTACGAATGTCGCCATTGAAGTCTACAGATGTTATGTTAACTTGGAAAACACTTTAGACCGTCAGTAGGTGCAGGTTCTTGGTATGAACACTGCAGGACAATCACTTTGGTTTGTCACAGATTTTTACCTTTCTCTTTGGTATTTTGAGGATGTGAACACTTTCCATGCTTAATTTCATTTAAGCCTTTACTAACCAAGCATGTCAGTTTAAATGTGTGGATCTCGCCACTCCAAGATAGGGGTTCAATTTCTTATGGTTCACATATTTATTCCTGGTGTGAGAAAACGTAGTTTATCCAGGGGTGGCACTTAAGAATTTTTCCTACTAGCCGATTGCACAGACTATTTCAGTGAGAAATGTAATCTGGCATGCAATTTTTATTTTATTTTTTACTAGCCAGGAGGCTCTTATTCAGTTTTTTATACTCACTCTTTGCTAAATTACTTGCCTCAGGCAAGTGGGCAAGCTTAATTGCCAGTCCCAAGTGTAACATGTGAGGTCAAGTCATCTGATAATATGACAAAGCAGATTTGACCAAAGAAATTATCCTACCCACATTCTGCTCTATATCATGGTGATAAGTACGGGTCTGAAAGTTAGACATGTTTCCAATTTATTCAGAGGCTGCGGCTCTATGAGTCAGATGCTAGAAAATAGAAGAGATATCACCATTTTGCTCATAAGTGACAGACACTGACCACAGGGAAAAAAAACTTTATTAATTTGCTTATTTAATGTATATCAACATTTACAGACTAAATATATACATCAGGCGACATTCTCATATGTCCCAAAATATAAAATTCCAAGTACCACTTGCGATACAAAACTAATATTCTCTTTTTTAAATACATTACATTCACATATCTCTCTCGACTTTAGACTTCAGAAATGATAGAAATACACTGAAACATCAGTTACAGGTTTATCAGCTTTAACAAGTGAAGGCAACAGCAAGATCAAAATACAGGCTTTCCGCCAACCGAAAAGTAAATCTGAAAACGATGTATATTAGATTAGCGTAGTACTATGTACATAATCTGTTGGCATACACTGAATGACTGGTCAACTCTCCCATCCCTGGCCAAAGGTGTAATATAGACTTTGCAGGTCATGTATCAAAAATAGATATGTGATACAAACAAAACAAGAAGCAACTAAACTACTGTTCATTCTGGAAGAACACTGCCAGCCCGCGGAAAGGTAATGCTATCCAGTCGCTGGGCTAAGACGCAGCTAGATTTGGAGAAAGCAGGGCGGACGGGTGAGGTGGGAGCCAGACCACTTTGTACTTTTCGTTGTTCTAACACTGGATCTTTGAATCTAGGTCACGGCTGAAGTTTTGAGCAGCTTCCTTAATTTGGTGAAAACCGTTTGGCAGGATGGAAACGCTTTCTGATTCAGAAGGGGGGGGGGGGCACCTTCAGAAGCAGCATCTGCAGGGTTCATCACATTTACATTCAGCTGAAGTATGACCATCACATTCATGACTTTGCATTGACATTTAACACATGTATAGGAACCCCCCCACACTCTCATTCTTGTCCTTATGTTGACCACCTTCTTAGTGTCTCTTGGGGCTACAGAAAATCTACTACTAGACATCCACAAAGGAAGACCCTCTCGAGTGCTGGCTCCCAGGAAGGTGGGCCAGGCCACTCAGTCTCTGGTGTGGCGAAGGGTGAGCAGGGCTGCCGTTGAGTAGAGGCATTTTCTACATTTTTTTTCCTTCCCCAAATCGCTACTTCCTTCCTTTGTTCCTGCGGTTCACCCCATGGGCCATCCCTCTACTCAATGGCGGCGACATTCAGCCGGTCCATCTCAGTCTTTGGTTTCCAGGTTCAATGGCGGCACGTGCTTCAACGCGTGAAACAGCGCTGGCGAGTCCATAGGGGTCTGGGGGGACAGCCCCAGCGGCGAGTGGTGCTTGTCTGGGGACATAGGCATGCCACCACCATTGACTCCTGGGTACAAGACCGGCATGCCTCCTGGGTACCAGCATTTCTCCAGCATGGGCAGGTAGGCGGCCGCCGTGGGTGGGAGGAGGTAGAAGGGCATGCAGAGTCGAGGCTGAGGGGGGGAGAAGCCCAGGAAGCCGCCATGGTCGGCCATCGCCTCTCCGCTTGGAAGGGCCTCGTCCTCCGAAGACTCCCTCCTCTGCCGCTTGAGCTGAGGCTCCTCACTCTCCAGTTTGATGCCAGCCGCTGCCCGGTCAGCCAGCGGGTACTTCAGCTCACTGTCCTTGGCGTACGCCGCCTTAGAGTCCCGTTTGTCCGGCTCGCCCCCATAGCCGCTGTCCGTGTCCGTGTCGCTCCCACTCTGCTCGCCATGGGGATAAGTCCTCTGGATAACGGGCACGCAGTTCCTGCCGTGTCCCTCGGAGCCCTTGGCTTGCGGCCCGCCCACCTTGGCCCTGTGCTCCTGCGCCTTTCGCTCGGGCTCCTCCGCGTGGGGGCTCTGCAGCAGCTCGGAGGCCACCTTGTGCAGGTGGCCAATCATGTGCGAGGGGGTCACATCGCCGCCCTCCCCCTGCTTGGCCAGGTACTGCAGCACTTCCCTGGCACACATGTGGAACCCAGACCTGAACATCTCCTCGCTGTTGTCTGGTGGTGGTGGAGATGGCTCACCTGTGCCAAGGAAACAAACAACAACTTAAACCAAAATACTCCAAGATTCCTCTCTCCCTAACTGGCTAATGCCAGGGCTTCACCCATTCCCTTGTTTAATTAAATCCATAAATCCAATACATCCCATCCCTGGCTATATTGAGCCAAAGCTCAAGGAGGATCTTGGAATGAAAAAGAAAAGTACTCAATCTGTTCTTCTGCAACTGAGCAGGTGAACCACCTTTGGTGACATTTGCATTTCGGAGAACCCAGAACTGCAGGATCTGACGGGGAACTCCCTGGTTCTACTGTATCGTCCGCATTTCCAGAATGAAGCATTTAACTCACCGATTTGCGTGCCATTCTGCAGCGCGATGATTTTCTGCTGCTGCTGCTCCAGGAGACTGGTGAGGGCTTTCACATGCTTCAGCGTGAGCTCCAAGACCACCGCCTTCTCCAAGTGGCCCAGCGTCTGAGAGAGAATGACCTCTGGTAAACATGTAGAGCCTCTTACATGGCAGGTACTTAGAACAGGCAGCCATAGTGGCACAAATACCCAGAATCAGTTCTGTGATCTACAGTGTATGCAAAGCCAAATTCTAAGTATTATAAAATTCATAAATGTAGATTTTACCATAGCAAAAAAAAAAACAAAAATGGGAAAAAAATCCATATGGTTCACCATCAAGTGTCAATTTTACATACTGATAAATATATTAAATCGGTAGCATCGTGTTTTAGAAATTTATTTTCAACTAACAAAAGTATTAATTCAGATTGAGAAAAATACAAGTATCAATTGGCCGCCAGGTGGCGCTTCAGTTCATTTCCTTTGCCGGACTGCCCCGACTTCGTTCCAATTTCAAACTTACTGTAAGTTTAAGATGCTCCGGCAGTAAATCCTTCAGCTGAGCGATACACTCATTTATTCGGTCTCGCCTTTTCTTCTCAATTAACCGATGTGGTAGTTTGTACGTTCCCTACACACACATAAAAAATACATATAACAGTTTTAACTTTATTATCCACTCGCTTTGCATGAAACCTGAGAAACCGTGAAATTTGCACGCTAAGTCAATTTATGCATTTCGTAAATTAAACTAAGACATAAAAGCATAAAATAAAAAGGTAATTTCCTCACCTTGCTGTCTTCCCCGCGTTTGACTCCCCTCCTGGGTTTATATACGTACATGGGGAAATCCAATCTAAAAGGCACGGGACATGCCCGTCAGCAGACAGCACACGTACACATCTCCGCTCCGGGAAAAAGCTCCGGTGACAGTACAAAAGCAGCAAATCCACGGCAGATTTTCACTTACCCTTGCATGTCACTCATTTCCAGCGGCGGGTGTTTTGCCACACATGGAGGCGGCTGTGCGCTTGTAATCCTTTCCATCTCGCTTACTTTTTAAAAGCGAAATCAGAATAAAGCTAGACAGCCGACTTCACTGCGTATTTAAGCTTATCAGCATGGAACCGTGAGAAATATGATATTCTTGTCCTAAACTGTCGATATTTCAGATAACACCGCAAATGCGTCGATATTTGATTAAATGATCTCCTGCGCTTTTTACTTTTTTTGCTGAAAAATGAATGCAGCTGATGGTGATGGTGGTGGCGGTGATGTTGTCAATTTGCTAACCGAGCGTAGTCGGCGGTAGTTTTGAAGCTGCAGCCTTCGTTAAATGCACGAGTGTGGGAGGACGACGCTACGTATTAAATAAAGCCTGTGACTGTAGACACGTCCCTGGCTCAGGAACTGGCCTGCCTTCGTCACATGAGCCTCACGTGTTGGACAGCGCTTTGAACCGGGGGAGGGGGGTGTGCAGCTCGAGGAGGAGCCGCAGGAGGAGGACCTGCCCCTCTCCGGCTTCGATCTGATGCCGCTTCGGTCCCCCATACTCCGTGCACCGCCGCGCCACAAAACGCAGTCTAAACTGAGGCAAACTTTTTTTTTCGTCCAACCCGAATATTGATATTTATATATACGCGCAAAATAATGTGCATTTGTAAAAGTGGATTGCTTACTACATTTAATGTAAGCTATTTCTACATTTTTAATTAATAAATTGGTTCTTCATTTAAGTTAAACAATATTATTCCCAAAGTAGATATAATTGAAATAGAAGGTTTAACAATATTGATACAGGTTTATAAACATAATGCCAGGGTAAGTTAATGCCTATCTGCCTTTTTAAATTTCCAGATAATTTATCACTATACTGTAAATTTATACGTAATAGCCCGCTGTCTGAACCACCTTTAGTTATCCGCTGTTAATCGGTTGACAAAACCGTTACATTCACGAAGAACAGTATTAAGCATTTAATTATTACCGTGTGATGCTGATTGTAGTAATGCATAAACCACTGGAGAAGTGGACAAGTAATTAAACAACTTCAAGGAGCTTTCAAATCGTATGTTTAAACAATAAACACAATGCTTACGTTCATTAAAACTGATGTTAAACAGCTAACTCGTGCATTACTTTTTATTACACAGTAGGTTACTGCTTAGACGAAAAGGTCGATAATCTTTCTTTTTAATATAAAATCCCTAAGGAATGCAGTCCGTTACACTTGTCCAGTATTTAAAACCATATATTCATTTTAAGACGGAGGTCTTGAGACCAAATTAGTAATATGATAATATTTATGATTAAATATTTATGAAATGCAGACGCTGGCCGGTTTTATGACACGGTGTAAATGCCCTGTTATCAGTGTGCGGCACTGCGCAGTGCACCTGTCTGGCCGTCCCTCTGCGGTGTCAGTCACGGTGTCAGTCACGCCGGCCCCCCACCTGATCCGGATTCCCACCCCTGCCGAAAGCGCCCCATAGGGCAGATCCGATATTCCCGTAGCTCTCGGTTAAACTGCTTTGGATGCATCGCCGAAATAATGAAATAACCGTACGTAGCACGCGCACACAGGAAAGTCCCCGTGGATTAAATGCGGAAAACCTACTAATCGTGTGAATGTTATTGACACAAGAGACGACCCTATTGTATTCGCTTCCCACGAAAGTTTTCACAACGTGCGGTTGTGAAATAGCATTAAATATTAATCAAAACTACAGATTAATGGGCAAAGGGACAGGACGAGCTGCAGGTTTCCTTAATACCGGAGGTAGCCTACAGCAGGAAATAGAGCCGAACCTTTCCCATGCATTCACTTCTCCGTGAATGATAACTTGCTTCCGTTTAATTATGGTACATATTATGTCGACAGCCTGGTAAAACACACGTACTGTAAACCGCAAGTCCTACATGCCTGTTGATTTAATATTTGTCCGGATCGTAACTTTTTGGTTAACTTGCTATAACATAGGCTAGGCTATTTGTTTTTGCGGGGAAATGTATCGGTTGCAAAGTAAGTGCATTATTATTTAATTACATTAATTAATGAGGTTTTATTGACACTCGTTTCAGGACAATATATAGGCCTACATCATTTCGACGGTTTACAGAAACAAAATAAATAAATCGTCATTTTATGATTTGACTGAAATATAAAAAGTGCATTGGGGTTTGGCAAATCTTACAAACAATCATTATTTAATAGGTTATTATTTAAGAAATATATAGCGCTCATAATACTTTATAAGGAAAAATTGGGATACGTAGCAGCCCAGAATACCGATAAATCAATAAAACAAAACGAACCCACAAAAGAGGTTGAGTCCACATAAAAAAAAAATATTGAATAACAAATAAACATCTTATTATATTGTTATTTATGCGACTGCTTTTGTCGGAACGGTCCCACATAAAATGATTTTGTACAATGATACAGTACGATTTAACGAAAACTTCTAAAATCAATTAAAATTAAAAATAATTTTGGTTATTATTTACTCGAACGTTCATGGAACGTATTTGATTCCACAGATGAATCCTGTAATTATACAGTATCTAAAGGTCAGAGAGCAGCGCTGCATTCACTTTTTCCTGGACTAATGGCATGCAGACGAATACGATGTATAGGTATAAACACACAGGTAGTTAACCATAAACACACAGTACCGCTTTATGTAATAATGTACAGCGATTTTAGGTAAGTTTGACTTCGCCGGATCACATTAAGTGGAGGTTTCTAAAATTTTTGTTCTGTAATTTTAACAGGTCACTAGAAGAGGCAGAAACACCATCACGTCTCTTTAGAGGTCCGGACGAAAACCAGTGACCCAGTGAGAAGAAAGGAAGACCTTAGCTTAAACGGAAACCCCCTTCAATGTATTTTTGAGGTTTGTCGAGCCGAAGCATCAGGGAGCCATATATGTGGTTAAGGTTTGACTAAGCCTGCAGAATGTGTGGACGTGGGAGGCGGTATCAGTGCGTGAAATGACTGCAACCCCGGTACGGTGACTGACTGAATGTCATGCTCAGCATCATCTGGGAGACGAGCGGACACACAAGACGTTTAAATGCACCGCATTAAAAAGTCACTCATGCAGGCTGTGTGCAGGAACTGGCAGCGCACAGGGGTGAGAAAACATTCACGTTATCTGAAAAGTTCAAACAGCTACATGAATTAGAGACTGAAAATGGAAATAGCAGAAGCAGACAAAAGGGACAGATAGATAAATGCGTCAATGGCACAGACATCGGGAGGACCCGAGTACTCGAACTTTAGTACCCAAACTTCAAGGTTCAAAAACAGTTTATTTTCTGAAATATTACGACTTTACAAAAGTTGCTGATTTCACGGTATAAGGTTGTCGTTGAATAAACCGCTGCTAACTTGCACACCCCATGTATCACCATCACTGCCTAAGTCCGGGGTGCAGCCTGGGCAGGATGCCAGCCCATCATAGGCCACGTGCACTATGGGTAGTCTAGACACCCCGTAACCTAATTGCATGGAGTTACTTCTTATGACACTTTATGAAAACTCCTACAGCTGAGTTGCTATTCAAATCCTCAACCCCAGATCTGTGAGTCAGGCAGGATATCTACTGAACCATCATGCCACCGTATTGTCTGTGCTTTATTGAAAAGAATAGTTATTTGAACACCAAAGTACAATGCATTATGTTGCGCAAAGAATACCACGGTCCACTGTGGGAAGTTCATCCATGGACACTTGGGCCACATGCAGTACCACCAGCTTCCCAGCTTCTCACCAGCTCAGCCCCAATGTAACAGATATGCTGAGATGTCGATAAACACAGAAGCATGTGTTCATGTGGGTCGTTGTGTGTGTAGCTTTTCCACTGCGGGGATTATGGGATGGTTGCCGGGTCCCCCCGTCCCGGATGCTGCATATTGACATAATCATATCATCAGAGTCTTCATATTTATGGCCTCACTTTTTGATAAAGCAGCTTATCCTAAGATTAAGGATCAGACTTTGTGAAAGTTCTTACTTCGTCACCTTGTGAAATTAACTCACATGTCGCAGGTGTTCAGTAATGCAGTCTTATGTGTCCAGATTACTGCCTCTCCAGAGGAGGGGGAAAAAAGAAAAACAGCTGAAAAAATGGCAGAAAGAAAAGCCACAGTGTAGCACTTGATAGGAAGAACCCACCATCTTATTCTTACAGTAACTAATTTCCTGTCATGGTTCCATTATTGAAATAGTTACTATTTCCCAGAAGCACAAGCGATGATGCAGGAGACTCTCTGGCTGGGATGGCAGCGAATCAGAGGGACTATTGGGCAATTTTGATATGCCGTATCACCTGGCTACATGGTTTTGGATTGTCTGAGTAAATCTAAATGCATGTACAGGGGAGACCATACCTAAGTGCATATGACCCCAGACGGGGGTGCATATTAAACCCCTAAAACGGCATAATAATAATAATAATAATAATAATAATAATAATAATAATAATAGCAACACAAGTTTCATATATTATATATATGATGATGATGAAGAAGAAGAAAAGAACACCAGCCATCAGAAAGAAGAACTCTGTAAATACCAAAAACACTGAAAACTGGCAATTCTGTACAGGAAAAAAAAACTTTCAAAATACATAATTTAAAAATGACATAACTTATCTTTCGGTTAGTGGACCCTAGTGGATCCTTGTTTGCTTTATTGGAGACAGATTTTAAGTGAACAGCCTCCAGTGATAGTGCAGAGAAGCTGTAAATGTTATTTATGCTTTGCGTCGACTAGTCACATGCTTCCAATGAAGGTCCATTTACCGGGAAGTGGTGAATGAATGAGCAACTTGTTGAACGGATGAATGCAGGAATAACCGGAGCCTTTTATTACAGGCATGTGCGGCCATTAAATGGGGAAAAACTGCCCTAAGCTGAATCATTGCCTAAATTAATTAATGTCCTGAGCATGAAAAGCAGGTGGGGAAGGAAAAACAAGATGCTGCTTGGTGGTTTCCTTGTTCCATGAGGGAGGGGGGCATGTATGACTGTATTAATCAAATAATTTAAGCTCAGGGTAATTTCTGAGTGGGGGGAGGAGAGTCCACATGTCTGTATTTAGCAGTGAGCTAAATGAAATGGCCAGCTGTGTACTTTCTCAGTGTCAGCCAACAGGGAAATGGACCCTTTCTTCGACCATCGCTCAAAATACTTCACTGGAGCATCACTGAGAACTCTGCCCTACTTTTGGCTTCTCCTGACCCACTTGAGATACCTCAGATACACAAGGCACGTGCACACAGCTTTGAAGCATCAGTTACAGCTGGAGTGGGCTAATCACACCATAGAAATATCACTTACTACTGTAGGAGGCTGATAACTTGACTGGAAAACAATTTAATTTGATTAAATAAAGAGCCATGGATATATCTAAACCAACTTAACAAATCCTTTAAGTTTAAGTAGAATTTTTTATAGTAACCAATTTGGACTTAAAGAAAATGTATTTTTAATGATACAAAGTCAAAAGTCCTCTTACTCTTCGTCAGCTCATGGTCAAGTTCATCTGTGGTACATTTACACAGTGTCCTTGTTTAACTAAAAGTACTGCTGTTGCACTGACAGAGCAACTATTACTTTGACAAGACAGTGATTCATGGAGAAGCACCAAAATGAATCCTCCTTCAGTTGTCCTAATGACTAATACGAAAACCCAGGCCGGCATTAGGTGTTAGGTGACGTTACCAGAGGCCACTACAGACGTTAACCGTGAACCGCCACCAACTCCAACAGCACTGGCAGCAAATTCCGGCGCCAGAATGACAAAGGAAGGTTCAAATGTTTTAATGTACAGTTTGAAATTGATTTATAATAATTCAGACGATACTCCAATCCCATACTAGTACATTTTATTTTCAGTAACACTTGTTTCAGATCCTATGATGTCTTTCTGTGAATGAAATTCCCTATACAAAAAAAAAACCTCATACTGAATAATACAACGGTCCGTGTCAAATGACCAAACCTAATGGAAATAGGGGTAAGCAGTAGCTTCTTCCATAGGCAGGCAGAAAGTCCTCGCTTGCCTAGAGTTCTTAAAGAGGAAACTCTGAAGAGGTGTCAGCCAGTGGCTAATGTGCTCCTCTAACTGGTGGATGCTGATTATTAGTGCATAAAAGAGCCTGCAATTCAGAATTAATTTTAATGAACAATCATTACAGCCTCACCATTCCTGAACTAATACAGTAAGTATTGGCCTACCCTGAAAACTACTGTTCTAAAACAATATTTCCCAACAATATATATGAACATAAATATAATAGACATTTATACACGAGTGGTGTTCTGAGTGACACAGTCATTCATGGAAAACAAAAACCTAGATGAACAAAAACCTCCAGACAAAATACAATTTATATTAATACTTTGTGAATAATTTAGATAATAATTTTACTTCAAATAAAATAAATAAAACCAGAAAGTCTTGCACATGCAATATTATTGGTCCGATCCCTATCCTAAGTGGAAACGTAAGTCCTCTTATTTAAAACGTCTACCCACACATAGTTTATTCTTCTTTAACTCATTAAGCAAAAGAGAAACAAGTCAACTTTTGGAGACTGATACCATCCCTTTAAGACATAATTTACAGCTCAAATGTCATGGTCCTTGCATAATAAAGTATTCATATTGCACATCATACAAAAATAAGACAAATACAGCTTGCTCTACTAGTAGTAAATACAAAAAGATCTTTCACCGCATCTCTCATTTCCTCACAGTCCAGTACAGCCCTGCTGCTGTGTTTCAAGTTCACCCAGTAAAGGCCATGAGATGAAAATTCACATGAGTTTATATAGAAAATGCGTGGCCCGTAGTCCTGTGCAGAGGAGAGGGGCGGCAGGGGGGGTGTGAGCGAGGAATCCTTGGTACCGGTTTGGCTTAAAAGTGTCCTAAGGGCGAATTTAGATAAAAGCTACACACTCATCAAGTTGGCTCGGGATGTGACACCACATTTCCACTGGATCTGGACTCCTAAGCGAACGCAAAGCGGCTGTTGATGTGACTCTCCCCCTCCCTCCTCCCATCAGCTGTCAGTCAGTCCTCCTCTCCTCATGCTGGTTGCTGTGGATTGACGTTCATGTGGGGGGGGTGCCCCAGGAGGCCGATCCTCTGTTTCTGCTTCCTCTGCTCTGTCATCTGGAAGGACAGGCAGGGCGAGAGCGCTCTTCATGTCACGACACCAACAGGCACATGAACACGCACATTTTACTGTGTCAACGCTTCTGCCAGCCAGATACTGGCATGTGTCAGGGCCAGACATGCTGCAGGCATGATTGGTCCCTGATAGCAGCTGTCCAGAATCATCTAATACTGAGAATGAAAAGTTAGACCGACCGAAGGAAGGAAAGAAGGGAAAAAATTATAATTTAAATACTGCTTGCACTGATTTTGTAAGTTTCAACATATTTCACCTCTGGCCACTCATGCAACGCTGAAGGGCATTTCTGAGTACTGAGACCTAGTGATCTGGCTAGATCTCCAAAGGTCTCATTGATCAGCCATAAACTTCTATACCAAATTCAGCGTCCATTTCTGTTGGATGATATATAGCATTTGCCAGCAAAGCATACATAACAGAATTACGCTGATCATCCCAGTACTGTTCTGCTCACCAGGCAATTGCCAAACAGTTTATCATTTCAAGGTTCCAATTCAAAGGCAATTGCAGGTGACTTTGCAATGGTCGCCTAGCAAGCTCACTGGGTTTTTCATTGATCCTGTGATCCACCTGGTCGCACCGTATAGCCCCTACCGCCCTCCGTCACACCCTATGGCCCCTACCGCCATCCGTCACACCCTATGGCCCCTACCGCCCTCCGCCACACCGTATGGGCCCTACCGCCCTCCGTCACACCCTATGGCCCCTACCGCCATCCGTCACACCCTATGGCCCCTACCGCCCTCCGCCACACCGTATGGGCCCTATCCCCCTCTGTCATTCTCCATGCTCTACCACCCTATGTTTGTAACTGGCTTTCACAAAAGAGGGCGGGGGCGGCGGCAGTATTAGAACACAAATGAAATGCATGCTGCTGTGTACCAGGAATCATCAGGAGACTCATTTAAAAAAAAAAAAACTAAGAAAAAAAAATAATGACAATGGTAATAAGGATACTGTGATCTTCATCTGGCCTGTCTGTACAGTGCAGTAATATTTACTGAATGGGGTTATGGGCACAAAAACAAATTAGTTAATATGAAAAAAAAGGCGGAAATGGCAGAGACTGGGATTTTTTTGTACTGCGGTGGAATTGTCTCAGAAACAAAATTAGAGCAACTAACGTTTAATTTGTTGTTGTCTAGGGCCAGACAAAATGTTCAACGTTGTTGTTTGGGACCAGACGAAACTTTTCACCCACTCCAGTTTCCTTCTGTCTGGACTGGTGTCTAGATACAACTTCAGTTCCTCATAGACACTTCTTATTTCATCTCAATCTGCACTTTTACCTACAACTCTAGCGTTATTTATCAGAAGTAACACTTAGAGTGTGACTGGAGGGGTCTTCTCTTCTCATTCCTAACTTCTAATTTGATCCTTATCATAAGATTGCACATTGCATTGAAGAAGTGCTTGTACCTTTCACTGTCTGGCCTGGTTTTGATCAGCACAACATGATGGTTCCTGCTCTTTATCACAGGAAGTGAAGATGACCGACTGGAGTTCAATAGCTCATCAGGTTAGGAGGCTAATATGTCGAATCACAAAGATACGGCAAATAGAGCGACAGCCAAACCAAGACCCACCTGCTCCTTGAGCTCAGTTAGCTGCCCAGAGAGGTTGGACACCAGTTTCATGGTAGACTCTAGCTTCTCCTGAAGGTTGCGGATCTCATTCTGTTCACCATCACCATCGCTGCTGACCAGAGACATGGCACGCATGCGGGGGAACCAGTCCAGGTTGTGCTCCTGTAGATACGGGGAGGAAGTTACCGTTGTTAGGTGAGGCTTCAGCTATGGGGCTTGATGTTAAACTAAGACCTATGACAAACCAACAGTGAAGAACTGAAAAGTATATTTGAGATGTTGTATTCCTCTGAAGCTTCTCCTCTGAATCAATCCACCGTGTAAAATTCAGAGAATTCATGCTTCGGTTGAACTCCCAGTGACACTAAATATATGTTTGCCTGGTCTAACATTTCAATGCCCCTTTGACTGGAATCCCCTTAATGATGAATTCCTCTCTGTTTTCCTCTTTTTACATGAAGAAACATTCAGAAACTAATAACATTAAACCAGAGGATGTTCCATATTAGAGCGGAATGTAAAACGCTCACATGTGACCGGTGGAAGGCGGTGTCTAGACCTTTGTCATCTTTCTGTACGGTGATGTCCAATTTTACTGGCCTCGAAGATGAAATGGTGCAAGGTCAGGCCAAACTCTGCAAGACTCCATATCCTGACTGAGCTCCTTTCGTCAACATGGGAGGTCCCAGTATACCAGATAGACAACAATAACTCAGTGTATCTCAAATAAGACGTCAGCCAGGTGGTGGTGGCTCCAGATCATTTGTTTTATGTCACAAATTGTGAGATGTTCACAGGTTTTCTATTTCAAACCACGCACACACACACAGAACTACACACACACACACACAGAAATACACACACGCACAGAGCATAACTGCAGTTCTTTAAATCTTTTTTTTTCAGACTGGTGTCATCTTGTCATGACACTGTATGGTTCATGTCACATAACTATAAGACGTCAGACCGACACACACAAAACACACACTCACACGCACAAGACACAGACAGCACGGTCTAGTGTTTTGGTCCTATTCAACGTAAATCTGCAACACGTGCCTGCATACGAGCAGACACACACGGGACGCGTGCACGCAAACACACACACAAATGCACACACACACACACACACGCACACACACACACAGGTGTCTCGGTATAGCCACAGTAGAGGAAGCAGCCGCGGGGTTGGGGGTGGTGCTGGCGGCAGGCCTGTAAAAGTCCCCGCGATACAGCTCCACAATCTCAGACATGGGGGTGGGACGCAGCCCTGGGTCACAGGGGAACCACACACTGTCATTCTGAGAGCGGAGGAGAGCAGAGAGGAACACTGCTTCCTGAATGCGGTGAGACAGGGGGGTCTGTATTTACCTACATCTCTGACCTTCCCACGTCACCATCACAGCTGTCTGACCTCAGCCAGTCAAATGCTGACAATACGGCCGGCATGCGGCATGCCCCCCCCCCCCGTGACACAATCTTCCCTTACAGTCTACAACCCTCTACTCCTCCTCACCCAAACCCACTGAAACAGAATCCAGCCATGATTTTATACAGGCTATTTTACAACAGACTGTCCGTGGGGGGGCGGGGGTTCAATAAGTGCTTACACAAGCACCCAGGTTGCTGGGGGCATCTGGTCCATTGTGTCAGAGGCTCGTGAGCAACAACCATTAAAAGTAAATAAATGAGAAACAACTTCAAATCATTTAGTCACGTCAGAAGCTTCTGGATTGGCCTAACGCTGCACTGCCAGTAAATGTCTGTCCGCTATCTTTCACCTCATCGATTTTAACCTCACCAGTAACCCCAGCTTTACGCCAGTTTAATGGAAATGACGGAAGAGCTGTTTTCACAGTTAAAGCCACAGATGGGAGCGGAGAGACAGGAAGTCGTGGCTTTGAAGCTACAGAATGACAAAAGAAATAAATGGAGCTTCATTCACTATGACCTTTTTTTAAAAAAAAAAATTCCCTTTTGTGTCAGGTGCTCTGAAGCGCGTTAAGGGGACGAGGCTCTACGATTTCACACTGCAAAGAATTTGATGTTCTACTGAAGGAGTCTCATGCAGTGAGGCTCCGTGTGCATCTGTGCTCAGCCGCCTTTAGTGTTAAAGTCTTCGTAGTGGATTTTTAAAGGCACAGAGAGAGGCTGAATGAGTGCCATGATGTCACTGACATTAGGGATGCTGCCATCACTACGTTTGTCACTCTCCTGCCTGTCCCCCTTCCGCACTGGCAGTGGCCTGCCTCGATTTCCCTCATGCCTCCCACCCCCCCCCCCCACCTTCCGGATTCGCATCACGCCTCCGGCATCAAGAACATGAAGGAGGGGCTGCCGGGGGACGCATGGTGACAACACAGAGGACACCGTGAGGAAAGATGTGATCTCAGGTGCTCTACCTATCCTGAGTGAAAAGTCCATGAAGTCCTGCTCTGTCAGGTCATCTGAAGTCAGTCGAGGCTGTGAGGGGCGAGGTTATTTATGAAGCCCACACATCAAAAGCATGCTCACGCAGTGGGGGGGGGGGGGAGTAGTGGGCGAGGATTATCGGTGCATGGCAATCCGCTGACCCTGGGTCGCCCCCGTGTGCTTCACCTCGGATGACCGGCTGTGCCGTCGGGCCAGATAATCCACTATCAGGCAGGAGGTCCCCGCACAGCAAGGGATAGACCTGGACCAAACGGCATATGACCCCACCATAGCTCTGATGGCAGCATGACTGAGGCGAACAACCGCGCCAAACACGGATGATGCTCGTTCAGATACCAGAACAAACACGTTTAACGTCCTCCCTGAATCGGGAAAAAGTCACGTGTGAGACTGATAGGGGATTTACTGTGCTGAAAAAAGAAGTGTAATAATATAAAACATTACAAAAAAATCTTCCCATCTGGTGTCTTGTGTGTCAGTCTCTGATTTTATGCCAGTTTGTTTTTTCAGTTTTCCCACAATCCTCAGCTGCTAGTGGGTTTTCTGGTGTATGGGTTCAATGTGTTTTGTCCAGAGTCTCTGACAGTGCGATTACATAACAGAAGCCCACGAGTGCCAGGCGTATGGAGAATTCAGGGAACGCAGAGCAGACCTTGAAAGAGACCCTCATTACAGCATCTATCTGAAGGCAACCAGATAGCTTGGCCAAAGGCCACTTGCTTATTGCCTGAGTTGGACATATATGTAGATCCACTGAGGTTTCTGTAACTCACTAATGTTCGATGGGTCAGGATCAACCCTACCTTGATCATCTTGGCCACGTAGCTCTCGGGACCCGTGTACTCAGTAGAGTCCTTCACCTTGACCAGGACAATGAAGAACAGGTAGTGCCACATGTTGTGCTCCACCTTGATGTGCTCCTCAAAGGTCACCGTCTTGTTGTCGAACTTATCACGCTCCAGGCCTGCAACGTGACAGCAAGCACGAGAGATGAGGACACACTGGAACGTGTGCCTTGGCTTGCAGGGACAGATATGTGGGACACCAGGCCTCCCCTATTGTATGGGGACACGTCCCAGTGTCTGGCCAAAAAATGTAAAGACTAATTAAGCAAGCAATTCAGAAATTGTGTTATGCTTGAAGAGGTATCACTAGGAGAGGCTAAAGTTATTTCCAATGGAACAGAGTTCCCCTGAGAAGCAGACTGGTGTCTCCTATGTCAGCTAGCCCTGAGGACCACCTGCTTGGACCTGGGGGCAGATTTTCAGCCCTTGGAAGGCATACCAACAAGAGGCTTAGCCTTGCTGCATACCTGCCCACACGGCACATGACCACCAAACTAATTTCAGTGGGAGAAGGACAAAAAAAAGCAGAGAGGTAGAATTTGGAGCTGCATCTCTGGGGGATTACAAACTGAGCTGGGAACAGGGCCGACCCCGCTCACGAACTGGGCAGGGACAGGAAGGCCTCCTCCGCCTGAGCAGTGACTCAGCGTTCCGGGAAGAAGGGGGCGTCTCGGCCTGGGCCTCAGGCAGACGCTGCTAGTGTTTACTTTTATGAGCAAAACATCTCGCTTTCTCCAGCAAGCCAATGATGCTGCGTCTGGCTCCAGGTTAGCGTTGGCGGGTGTGGTTGCATCTATCCTATAGCAGTCATCATTTGTGCCATCCGCCCACCACCAAGACCCCGTCAGTAGTGCGAGAAGAGGCTGAGATCCAGCCCCGGTGTCTCCTTACCGCAGATAAAGCAAGTAGTTTTTAGAACCTCTTCTTTCTTCTGCTTTTCACTCCTCAGGTCGGCAAAGGTATCAATGATCACTCCAAAGATCAGGTTGAGGACAATGATGATGACCATGAAGAAGAAGAGAAGGTCGTAGATGACTCTGGCAGCAAACAAGGGTTCCTGCCAAGGAAAGGCAGGGGTTTTTCCCAGGCACACAGAGCCATACTGTCCCCCGATATATTGACCAGCATCCAAAGCTCTCAGTACAGTATCAACACAAACATCATTATTAGTTTTTAACCACAACTACTGACTAAGCTGTAAAGTTTTAGACAGGAGATGCAATGTAGTCCGATGTCATCATATATTATTTCGCTAAACACCTGGGGAAACTGCTTCTAAAATACAGTCATATCAAGTCTGGAGGAAAGCTTGTTTTTTAAAAAAAAAAAAAAAAACACCCTGAAACTCCTGCTGTCAACATTAAACAGAAGTGGAAGCTTCATTTTGTGGGTCCAGCAGCTGGGAAGCTCAGCCTAATTTCCACTCATTAGCGCTGGTCCTGCTGAGAGCAGCTCTGGTACATTTATGTCCAAGACAGAGAGATTTCATCGCACGCACCTGTCTGACTCACTCCGAGGCCCTCATACAGGCATGGAGAATCATGGGACAGGATCGGTTTAGGGGCCCCGAGTGTGACATATGGGGGCATGACTTATACTGGAATTCTATGGCATGTGAAACAAGTATTTAACATACTACATGTGAGGTGATGGAATGCAATACAAATATTCTCCATTCTATCAGTCAGCATTATAGAATTTCAGTTACATTACATATTTCCCAATTCATTTCTGACACTAGAAAAGTTCATACTTTCATAATACCATACTAATCACCCTCAGTATGAATATTAAGTTGACTGTAACTTTAGTAAACCATTGTGTTGTGAGTTGGGGCTTTGATAGGCCTATTTTAGGGGGGCTTTGGCATCCATTCATCTCTAACTACGCCCCTGATTGTGAGCATCCACAACTAAGCTTTGAGACAGATTAGCTCAGAAATCCTGCACAGTTCCCTCCTATTCCTGACGGACTGACTCCATCACCAGTTGGACACGCCTTTGTGTTCAATTCCGATCCGGCCCCTTCCCAGAGTGGAAATGACTGTACCTCTTTGGACGGTTTTCGTAGGACGTCCCCGACCCCGCCTCCGCTGCGGAGTCCGTGGCTTAGGACAGTGACGATGCACATCAGCAGGGAGTCACAGGTACGTTCCTTATCTTCGATCACCAGGGCAGGTGGATGTGCAGCAGCCGCTGCTGAGGTATGGGTACATGCCCATTCTTAATGCGCATCTACTGCTTTGCTAATATGCATCAGCACAATGCTACACACAACATTCATGAGCACACAACTTTACAAACACGCTGCTGACACAGGTACCTACTGACCCCTTCAAAGAGCATTACCAAGAACTGAAGCTGTTACGAATTGAAGCCCATGGCTACACAAAGCCTGTGTTTACAAACTGAGCTGAGGCCAAAACAGGGTTCACTGATGCTGCTAACGTTCTTCTGATTCTTCAGGATACATATTTTTTTTATTGTTAAAAACGGCTGCTAATTCATGGCACTGCTGTGTGAAGATTGAGATTGAAGTTAAGCCAGGGCTAGACAATTTGCTTATCTTCGTTGATTTCATAATCCCATGTCAGGATTTGTACAGGTCAAACTTCCAGGAGCCCTGACCTATATGACCCTTTAGCTTTCAGCTCACCTATTGGCTCTTGATTGCAATTAACCTCTGACCTCCCCCTGTCATTTGTTACCCCATGACTGCCACGCCAGAGGATTGATGGTCAAGTTGAGCAGAGGATTAAAAACAGCAGATCAGGGTTGCCTCGTGAGTGCTCCGAGGTCACGGAGGAACAAGAGGAAGCCTGTGACCCAGCAAACCTTCTACGGCAGCATCACTCGAGCAATTGTCCCCGCTCTCCTTCCGGCACACTCCAGCAGACAGGAACTCCCCGAGCATGCTGGCTCCACTTTCTGTCAACAACGGACACGGCAGGGAGTCAGGAAACACATGCAGCAGGACTCGTGGCCCATGCACTGCCCTTCACACCTGGACAAACATGGCTGCCAATGTTTGCAATTCCATTTCATCCTTTTTCAGTTTTATATACTGCATTTCCTAACAGAGTTGCCTGAAGGTGTTTAAAGAACAAACAAGAACATAGTACAAATCTATATGTAGAGGTAGGGTGTATAAGACAGGGGTTTTATCATGAAAGAAATCATGAACCTCTCTCCAGTGTAAACTGGGCTATCCTTAGGCAAAGAAGACAAATGAAAGCTTTGAAAGAGACTAGCAGGATGTGCAGCCATAAAGACCTGATCACATGCCTGACTCCCGTAGGCGCTCAGCCAGGCCTGCACAGTTGCACTTCCTTCCAGAGCAGCTGAGCTCACTGGGGGTGCAGGTTCATTTTCTCATTAGGCATCGCCATCAACAGCATCCTCATGGAGCTGGGAATGTAGCAGGGCTAAACTGACATGCACGCATGCAGAGGACATACCCAGCGTTTTATTTGGGATCCTATCCACCGCCAGGATGAAGTCATTTTTGAAGATGATGTAGCCCACGATGGAGAACAGGTAGACCAGAATAAGCGCCAATACTGCAGTGAGGACAATGGAGCGGCCATTGCGTGTCACGCTCTTGATCACGTTCAGCAGGGTCTCTTCTCTATAGACTAGGTCAAAGAGCTGGACAAGGCAAAGAGAGCATGTGTCAGGGGTCTAAAAGACAAGAGAGAGACTACAGGGAGTCTGAGAGAAAAGGCGGGGAAAGACTACAGGGAGGCAAAGAGCCAAGAGACAGAAGCAAAACTACAGGGAGCTACAGAGATGGGAAAGAGACTACAGGGAGTCAGAGAGAAAAGACCAGGAAAAAGACTACAAGAAGGCAAAGAGCCAAGAGACAGGAGCAAAACTCCAGGAAGCTATCGATATGGGAAAGAAACTACAGGGAACAGAAGAGCTAAGAGGCTAGGGAAAGACTACAGGGAGCCGGGAGATGGGAGAGAGATGGCAGGGAGCCGAGAGAAATGCAAGAGAGACTACAGGGAGCTGGAGAGACGGGACAGAGACTACAGAAGGCAAAGAGTCAAGAGACGGGAGAGATACTATAGGGAGCCAAGAAATGGGATACGGAGACTGAGAGACCAAAACCAGAGCCACAATATATGGTGGCCAAAGCTCACGATCACAAACCTGGCTGGTTAAAGGACAGTTTTATAGCCAAGTGTAAAGTTCATTTTAATGCCTATAGACATCACAGGACACAAAATCATGGAGCTAAATGACATTATGCCCAATGTGCTCCAAAATAAGGGCGCTTCAACCATTCAGAACAGCAAAGAACCATATCCATCATGTCATAATGTAATTGTTATGAAAACTTAAAATATTATCAAGGTCCTATGTAGAATATGGTTAAAAATATCAACTAATTAATTTTTTTTGTCTTTTTTTGGGCATTCCCCCAATAAATGCTACTTTGAAAAACAAGCCTACAGCTACCTAACACTACCATAGGGGATTCTGTTTTGTTTATAATGTTTTATAGTGTTTGAATTAGTTGTTCACACACTAATGGAACATCTTACTGTGCATAACGCATTTGGAACACTGCCCTGACCCACAGCAGTACACATCATTTTTTCCTCTTATTTACGCTGCCTGTAAACACACTGGCCTTCCCAGCAAGGCGAGCCCTGAGACATCACACTGACTACAAAATCATGTCAGATGCCTCACGCCCGCCGTGGTCAGTGTGGTATGAGGCAGTCACAGAGGCAGTCACAGAGGCAGTAAGAGCAAACCAAAGCACGGAGATGGCCTCCTTTTGATAAGATAGGGCTGCCTACACCCCACACAGACAACACTCATTTCCAAATAAAAGAAATACAAGGGCTACTGAAGAAGAAAGTGACACTGACAACACAGGGCTCACCAGAAGGCTGTAGAAGAAGACGTGGACAAACACACCAAGGCTGCAGATGATCAGGTAGAGCACATGGTACAGAAATTCGACATCCATGATCATAGCTCTGTAGCCTCTGGTGAATGTCCCTCGATTCCCCACAAAGCTCATCAGGAAGATGATCTTATTGCAGACCTTTTAAAGGATAGCAGGAGACACAAAATCAATGTTATCATTTATTAAAAAATAAAAACTTTTAAAGTCATGTCAAAAAGGGTGCATTGTATTTTATTTTATAAGAATGAAAAATATGTTATAAAATAATAATAATAATAAAATATATATATATTTAAATATGAAAATAGTATTAATGAGAATAAATAGCTTTTAATAAGGAAACTCAGTTTTCACAGGCAGGTATCGGGGGCTCTGGTCACATGACTTCTTGAAGGCTGAGGAGCCCCGACGGACTAACAGCTGAAGCAGGGCTGCGGAATCCAGCGTGATCTGTGACGCATCTAGCCTCAGTGAATACCGCCGCGCGCAGTCATGTGACATGGGGTGGGGCAGCTTTCCAGGAACACCCAGGGCTGACCACTCACGTTGAAGGCTCCAAGCAGGAAGAGAGTGGGTTCCAAGCCCACCGAGAAGATAAGGCGCAGAATGGTGGAGGCGATGAAGGCTCGGATCCCATGTGGCTGGGGCATGATGATCACTATGACCAAGGACACCAGCATGGCAATCCATAGCAGGGCGGACAGGTGTGGCTCCAGAGTACCTGACAAACAGAGGAACTCTCAGATCACGCGAGCAGGAGGAGACAAATTACATGTCAGGAGAAATATGTGACTTATGCTGCTCACATACCAGACGAAAGTATGCAGTCATTTGAGCATGTGACTGTATTGGGTTGGGGACTGAAGGAGGCCACGCCCACACTACCCCAACCCCCATTCACGTAAAGATCACATGACAGGTGTGACTTACACAACAGCAGCAGCTAAAAATAGGTCCCTCCTGAAAGATTGATGAAAAGCAGCCCATAAGCCCAAAACCCAGGGGCAAAAGGCATGACATCACTGCAGGGCCTGCTGCCACCCCAATGGGAGAGAGGAGCCAACCAAAAGTCTCCATTCATCTCTCCTTCACAGACTTACAAGACTATAAGTCACATAACCTGTCCCCTGTCCTGAACACAGGCAGATTACTACTGGAAAAAGGAAGCAGAAGAGAGAGAGCGAAAGAAAGAAAGATGTGCTGACGGATCTCAAACCCCAACATGTAAAACCTTAAAGAAAAGATGGATAGAAATGCAAACATTCTGCTTAAAAATTCAGGACAGATGAACTTCTGTGTGGGAAATTGTCCCTGTGGAGCCACCACAAACTTTGGGACTTCTCTCTCTCTCCACACACACACACACACACACACACACACACACACACATACATTGTATATAAATATATATATAAAATTTTGAAAGATAGGAATGTGAGAGTACATGTTCCTGCAGTCCTGGTACACTTTCGATGGCCGCCACCCTACATTCCTGGCTGAAGCGCGGTAGAGTTGTTTCGCACTGCACACCACTAAAGCTGCTCCAAAGTATGCAGACCTGCTTATGACCCTGGCCTGGGCACGCTTTGACAAATGTTTCCTTTCAGTCATGTGACTGGCATGTGACTATCTGGAGATTCGGCGGCGACGCTTGGCCCTGCTTTCCAGTCTTTGGCTGCGTTCCCATTTCGAGCAGGAGGAGAGAACGGGGGGGAAGGAAATCAAGACTTTCCATTGTCAAGAGTATCTGGGCGTCTACATTAATTCCTGAACTGAAGACAGATGACATACATTTCATGGAGGGGAATCGGCATTACCAGTCAGGGAAGCGGCACTGACCAAAGGCTCCTTTCTGTACCACAAATGAACACGGACGCCGTTTTATTGCAGGACGACAGTGTTACTGAAGTCACCCTCAAAGCACCATCGCAGCATGATTCCATAAACCTGGGACTCCATGTGACCTTTGAGATCGTCATGGCAATATAATTTCTCTCTCTAAAAAAAATTCCCTCCTACAATGGGGAAGTTTGAACAAAAGGGACTGTGCGGTTCAACCGAGGTCAGAACAATTGAAAGTTTATGTGGATTCAGGGAGGGGGGGTAACAGTGTTGTTCTTCTCCCCGCATGGCAGTGTGGAAACAAAGGCTGGATTCATTCTGTTAGACGCACCAGCGGGCCAGCAAACGTGACATCGGCATGATTTCACTCAAGCTCGGTCTTACGTCTCCGCTATAAATAATCTCCAGCAGGCAGGCTGGTCCCAGCAAGACTGGCCAAACACACCAAACTAGGTTCCAAAATTCACGCCTGTCAGGTGAGACGAGATGAAGTCCGTTCCTGATGAATGGCGAGTAAAATAAGGCGGAAAACCTTGGGCCCAAGGTGTGGCTCTGTGGGTTAAGACTCTTCCATGTGATCAGAAGGTTCAAATCTCATGGTTAGCAGAGTGACCTCACTTTTGAGTCCTTGAGGAAGGCCCTTAACCCCCCCCCCCCCCCCCGACTCTGTGGGTTGTTGTGGGGTTTTCTCTACGTGCTCTGGTTTCCCACAACAGTTCAAAAACATGCTGAGGCTAACTGGAGCTACTAAACTGCCTGTAGGTGTGTGAGGTGAGCACCCCATCCTGGGTTGTTCCTTGCCTTGTACCCATAGCCTCTTGATAGGCTCTGGACCCCCTGTGACCCAGAATAGGACAAGCAGTTACAAAAAAAAGGATGAATGGGCCTCACACTTGCAGGATTAGCACTTTAATAGGGACCCCAGCTGAGTTTATATGCAGTTTACATGCTCTCCTTTGTAAATCCACTCAGGTTTACTCCCAGAATCCAGAATTATGCAGTTAGCATCTCTAAATTGCCCAAAGTTAATATGAAAAGTTAAACGAGATTAGGTTATTTCGAACAAGAATGTGTGATACATTTGGAAACTTCAACTTTGAAAACATGGAACCTAACGAGAAATATGTTTTGTAACAGTACAGCAACACCACACCACAGTCTTAATTAGTGAAATGTAAATTTGCAAAACTGGAAGAGACTTAAGTCTTGAGAGAGGACAGTCTCGGAACATAATCTGAGAGTGGTGTTTAGGTGCCATTTCTATGAAGAGGCTGTACTCAAAAGTCTGCACTGGTCAAGGAAAGGCTGCAGATCCAGACCTTTGCATGTAGTTCATTGGAAATATCTCAAAGATGGATCACGACAATTTCATCATTATCCCTGGTTGTTTAACCCCTTTCCAAACTATACAAGGTGCAGAATATTAAATGCAGCTCTAACATCAGACAAAAAGCACAAATTCAGCTACCTAGCTACGGCTTCAATGACACAATTAACGTTGTATAGTCAACGTCGGGGCGCAGTGGTTAGCATTGCTGCCTGCCACATCTAGGACCAGGGTCTGAGTGTCTGCCATGGCTTCATGTAGAGATTGCACATTCTGTCCGTGTCATCGTGAGGTTTCCGGCGGGTACTCTGGCTTCCCCACCATAGTCCAAATGCATGCCATGGAAAATTGGAGTAACTAAATTGCCCATAGGTGTGAGTGCACCCTGCGATAGGTTGGTGCCCCATCCTGGGTTGTTCTGTGCCTTGCACCTGTAGGCTCAAGACTCCCCCATGACCCAGAATAGGAGAAGCGGCTACAAAAAATGGATGGGTGGATAATCAAGGGTCTTCTCTAAAAAAGGGATTTGTGAAGGGTAACTTCAGATTCTTGCCTTGGGGAGGGGCGTTGTGGGTGTTGGATTGGGTAGCGGAGCTCACTCACCTTTGTGGCTGCCCTCTAAGGGGTAGAAGAATGCCACCAGCAGGTTCATTAGCACGGCGAGGTTGAAGGAGATGCTACTCCAGAAGGACATGTTGCGTGAACACCAGTAGAGAACAGGCTGAGCTGGAAGAGTAATGGCAGAACCCTTAAAAGCTGGTCCAACATGAGTATTCCCAGCAGACTCACATCTTACACACTCGAGCTGGTGCATTTCTGTACATCAGTCTCACATTAGGGACATTAATATAATAATACTTTTTATATATTTGAGTCCTTTAAGAGAAACTCCATACTCTACATCAGTGTTTCCCAACCTGGCCCTCGGGGACCCCCAGACAGGTCTCTGTTGGGAGTTGGGGGAGCAACAATGCAGACTGTCTGGGAGGGAGCCAAAACATGGACTGTCGGGGGTCACCAAAGATTGAGTTAGGAAACACTGCTCTACATCACTAATGCTAATCAAACATTAGATGTGCTTATAAAGTAACTGGATGCCAGGCTTTCCAAATCAGGGACCAAAAAAGTCCAGGTGAAATAAGACCAAAATGCCTGGGCTCAAACTTGCTCCAGTGGATTTACTGGGGTCAAGTTATTTCATTTCTGAAAATGTGTCATGATGCAGAAGCCTGGTGACACAGGGATTAGAAACACATCCAAGCCCTCCTGAAATCACAGCCTTTGTTGTTCTGCTGTGCTTTCGTCACTGTGGTTGTGTTACAGTATGTTCAAGTGTGTTCCTGTCTCCTGTGGTTGGCCAAGGAGGAGTTTGTTAAACTGGCGTGCACGTGTACCCTATCTATTTCCTCTTCAAAAGGATCTTTTAAGGAGTCGAATCATCAGTGTAGGCTAGAGGAGAGCAGGTCTGGGCCTGCTCTCCTCGGGAAGCTCAGGTTCTACGGGGGCACCAAGCCTTTGGAAAGGAAATACAAAGAGCCACTGGCATTGTTAACAACCTCCAGAAACTAATAAGTATTCTTTGATCAGCGAGAAATCATTCAATCAAAACGAAAACTCTGCAACACCTTATCCGAAAAGTCAACTTCACTCAGATAATCCAGTGAATGCCCCCAACCCCCCCCCCCAGGATGCTGAAAGCACCCCAATTTATTTCAGGTTCACATGGATGGTTAAGAATGCACAGTGGAGACTCTAGAGTAATGCTTAATCTATGACCTTTAATTAGGTAGACGACACCCACAAGGCGCTTAGAGGGGCTGCTTGAGCAACTGCTATTTTTGGACAGTAGTTTCAGTTTAGTTTTAAAGGAAATGAGGAAGTTAATGAGGGGATTTCTCCACCGCCCTCCGCGAATGGAAGGTGTTGCTCTCATGACATCAGCATGGCTGTTTTGTTTTTTTTTATTTATTCAGATCAGAAGCACTCATGCCCCCCCTCCCCCCACCCACCCACCCACCCCTGAACATCGGCTGAGTGCCGACGGTCCCACTGAGAAAAAACAAACCGTACAAGAAAGGTGATTTTGGTAGAGGTCCAGACATAGACACTGTGGGTGGAACCATGTGGAAAGATTCTGAGGGTAGAAAGGGGTGCTTAAGGTCTGTTTTACAGTGGCAATAAGTAGCCACCAAATACCTGTGTTGCTCTAGTTAACACTGTATACCCCATGTATACAGTACTGTATTCTATAATTTCATTGGTTGTTCCAATTTCGATTGCAATTTAATAGGATATCAGCTGAAATGATGAAACCAAGTGCATGGGTCGGGGGGGATCTGTTTTCTGTGCCAGTGCATATACTTCCCATCGAATTAGATCTGCACACAAGGTACAATAATGGCACAAGAAACCATAAGAATACAGGGCATGGAAATGGCAGTGCCAAAAGCTTTCAGGTAATTTCTTATGACATTATGCTATCAGAAAAAAACCTTAGATAAGAACCTTATATGTCTAATTAACTGTGCTTACGTATCCTTGACCCTCCCCCCTGTTCCTGGGTTTAGGGCGGTTCCTGCAAGGTTAAATTGGAATGGCCCTGAATGAGTCAGGAGGTCAGGGAGGGGTTAAGGGTCTGTAAGACAGCTCTAGAGAGAGGTAGGAAGAGAACGCACAGGGGAACGTGTTTGTGTTACCAGGACCCTCTTGAGTACCTCGCAGCTTCTTCTGCCAGTTCATCTCATTGAAGAGGTCTTCAGAACGCAGGAAGAAGTCATTGATCTTACTGCCCTGCTCGTCACGCTCGGTGGTGTAGTACACTCGCAACTTGGACTCGTTGGTCAGGAACTCGCAGATGTTTGGCACAGGAAAGACTATCTGCTCCATGGTGCGATCAAGCCGCACGATCTGAATAAAGCCAGAGACTAGTCACAGGTACGGTCAGGGGGAACAGGGACCAGGGGTAGGGCTCCTCAAGCAGGACCAGCAACCTGTCCTAATGTGAACAATGAGTAACAATATATATGAAGCAGAATAATATACAGCTTTTCACTGACTTCACAGAGGAAAGATGCATTGACCTTCATAAAGACTGGCTTGAATCTTAAGCAGCCATCTTCCAGGTCACTTCCCTAGTGTTTAGGCCACCAGCCTTTGTAGTCTCATGGTAGACATGACAACAGCAGGTCTGAATCAAATTCAGCTTGACACTCATCTGGGAATCTGTTTTAATGTCACCATTTAACTGTGATAGTGAGTTTCAGGTAACACTTTTAACATCCAATGTGCATCTCTGGGATGAGATTCCTGGCAAGGGAATATTCAGAAACCTTTCTGAGCCAACATGTTCCAACATTTCCCAGAATAAGATGTGCAGATGGTCAAAAGGCTTCTGAAGACCATGATCCAAGTGCTGTGTGGAGCGTTTCAGATGATGCTCGATTCCTCGGTTTCAACATATCAAGAAATGAAGGATAAGGGGCCGTGAACGGTCACTGTCACTGACCTCAATCTGAGCTGTGTGCTTCGCGTAGAACTCCAGGGCCTCGTCACCGTCCCCGTAGTTCCCACTGGGCTTCAAAATGGCCTGTAGCTCCTTATTGTGCCGTGCCAACTGTGTGTGTGTGTGTGTGTGTGTGTGCGTGTGTGTGTGAAAGAGGACAACAGACAAGTCAGACCAGGCCTACATTTAAAACTTAACAAAGGAACAGACCATCATCTTAAAAAAAAAAAAAAACAAAAAACAGTATTAATAAGAGAAGCAGAGGGACAAAACGGACGTGCTGAAAAAAACTTCCGTCACACGATGAAGCATCCGACAGCACATCAATAAATAAAGACAAACGCCCCCATCATAATGCCCTGTTAAGTTTCAGTATTACAATGTGCAAAACTCCTCGTTGCCTTCGTCAGAAACATCTGATTCATATCTCTTAATGTATGGTTTTCTGTGAACATGTCAGACTTTCAGGTGTTGATTAACAATAAGAGCATATTTACAACATTACAGCACATATATTATTCATATGTTGTATAATTTACCACTGATTCTCCCTAAACAAGATCCACTTTCATATACTATATAATACTAAAATGCTATATCTTTAGCAAAAAGAATTACTGGTCAGCTTATCGTTTTATTATGAGGAATTACATGAAGCTACGAGTACTACTAAATCTGTCATTAGTGTGAGTGCACAAGTGTGTATGTGTGAGCTAAGGAGGACATCAGGCAGGCAGATTCTAGTCCAGATTGCAGGCCTTGTCGCCACTGGAAGTGCCCTCACTGGAGGTTTACAGTAGTCAGACGGTACTTTCCACACACTGTAACATTCACTTAGCCGCACTGAAACTTGTGAGCTGTGTAGCAGCTCTAATCTGTCCGGTTTCGTTTGCGTGAGCAGCGCTCAGAGAGCACAGAAACCAGCGCTGTTCAGCACTCGAGGTTTCTCCAGGTGATGCCCGCAACCTCTGTGGGCTCGACTCGCCAAGTCCAACACACTGCTGCTCCTGGAGGCTGAACGCACTTTCATCTGGAACTTCTGATTCATGCAGCATGGTGGCAATAACAGGCTGCTCATCAGAAGCTTCTCAGGATGACTACCGTTTCAACAGAAATGGAACCAATCGAGGTTAACATGACCTAGAAATATCTGAAGAGCTACAGTGTCTTAAATGGAACTCATCTTCAAGAATTTAATTAAACTTGAGGGGCAAACCATGTATATAACCCTGGTTGACATTAGAGCAAAATCTACCTGATGAGCCAAAATGTAGATGTTGTGGCCGACGTTTCGAGGTGAGGCTGAGTGCTCTTCCTCTCCTTCCTCATCATTCTCAGGCTCCTTGACCTCCACCTCTCCTTGCATATAGGCTTTTTTGATTACCTCCACCTGTAAACGGCAGCTTGACTTTCATTCAGCACTCTCAGGACTGGTTTGCATATGTTTAAATGCAGTGAAAATGTGATCCAGGTCAACAAAAGTGTCAGCTTTTCATTCAAGGCAACCTAGTGTTTCTCAAACACTGTTTTTTTCGGGGGGTGGGTGGTAGAGACCCACCAGACAATCTGCGTTTTTGCTAATATGTGGACTGACTGGCAAAGAGCTGGAGGGAGCAAAAACGTGGAACATCTGTCGTTCCCCAAAGACCGGATTGAGAAACGACGAACACCTTAACAGATGCAAAATGCAGAATGGCTGTTTTATAAAGCAATGAATCCCACTAGACTCACCAGCTCTTTAGGTCTCATGTTGTACAGGATTCTCTCAGCGTTCTCACTGTCATGCCGGCTCTCCATAATGGCCAGCAGCAGCTTGGAAGCATTGTTCTGGAGAATGTGAGATGGTGTTCAGTTTCAGAACCACTTTGGTGTATAATAAAATTTTTCTGTTCCAAAGTGGTGCTCAAGGATTTCTGTTGACTGACTGCCAGCTATGGTTGAAGTTATAGCATCTTTAAGACCCAGGATAACAGCAGTGGCAAAATATGTCCATAGTGAATGGAGGTATCACTTCTAAACCAGCCCCTCACCTTGAGTTCTAGAACGAGATCCATCCGTTTCTTCCCTAAGGGGTTAATGTCATTGAGGATCAGGGCAATGATGATGTCAATCCCGTTGCACTCATGGGTGGCGATACAATTCTGGTGAGAAAGAAAAAAAAAAATCTTAATTATGAAGGTAATTAGATGAAGAAATTGACTGTGTGTTGCACTGTATTTTATTATTATTTTTATTCAAACTTTAATAAGACACCACACACTCCAAGGCCAAAACAGCAAAGAAGGATAAACCACATGTCAGCCCAAAATCTCACACATGGCCAGCAGAGTCTAACTAAGATCAGACATGGTTCACTGACGGACAAGACCAACCTGGTTCTCATGGCACGGGCCTTGACAATACTCAGTCAGGCTCTCCACGGTCTGGTTGATGAGTCCCACGTTCTTCTCATTGATGTAGAGCCCCAACAGGCCCAGACCCCCTGTAGTGCTGCCACAGATGCAGTCCAGGAATTGCAGTGTCTCACACACCAGGTTGTAGTTGTTCTTATTGTTCTGGCAGCGCAGGAAGTTCTAAGGGTGTGGGAGACAAAAGAAGGTGCCATGAGAGCAGAATGGAGATTAGAGCACCTTACAGTTTTGCACTTTGGCAAATGAGTGAGCTCTTCCCACATGGCTGGCTGACCTGCAGGTCTCGGTTGTGGTTCTCACAGAGCAGCTGCATGAGTCGAAGGATGGGTTGCATGATAGTGATGATCACACTCATCTCCCCGTCATCCTGGCCCTTGTCACCGATGCCGGTTGGACTGTCGGCTGGGGTCGTATGCTCTTCTGGGTCGGCTTCACGCCGGAACGAACAGAATGCTTTCTTGGTGACCGTCGAGGCCTCCAGCAGCTGCTCCCTTGCTTCTTCCGTCACCACAGAGACGACATCCTTCACTGTGTACACAGGGAGCAAACGGTTCGCAGGAAAACAACGGGAGGCCACAAAGGCTCATGTGGACACTGGAGGTCTTTTATCTGCATAACAACACATCGATTGTTGGGCTTTCATGTGGCCAAGATCAGTGGGTACCATATAGCTTGGGTCGGGTGCTACTGGGTAGGGCCGGGTCCGTGAAATAAGAATCGTGGCAATCATTTGCGTAATCATCTCGAGAGTGCCCAGGACAGCAAGGTCTGCTCCAGTCACCACCCTGCCCCCACTCACCGGTCCCCTGAGCTTTTTTGCGTGCAGGGGCGTCCTTATCGGAGGCGTCATCATCCTTCTTCTTGCTGCCCAGGTCGCTGGTGTTGACCGTCACAGTGGCTTTGATCTCCTGCTGGGCCAGCTTCATCCGGTCGTAGAAGACCTTGAAGAACTTCTCGGATTTCTTGTCTTCGGTCAGGCGGCAGTAAAACGAGCGCTGCGAGAGCGGAGAAGGTGCTCGTGAATGCCGGCAGCCCGCACCGAATGGCGAGGCACGCTAACAGCTAAAACGGAGCCGTCTTTCTGATACTCTGATGAGGATCATCTCAGGCACGTGCAGCAATATCCACGCTCGACCTTAGTTAAGCAGCCACGTTCGCCAAACATCTCTCATTTGGCAACAACGCCGCTCACACAAGCGGCATTACATAATGGGACGTCCCATGAAGAAGGCCTTTGATGGTTGGGGTCACTTCAGCCTGCCTTTCTCAGACATATGCTGGTGTCAGTCACAGTCTGCTTATTGATATTCAGAACAAACAGCTTCTGGGCTTAAGGGTAATTACAATACCAGCCTTTCTGTCCTCAACACTGTTAGACCTCAGAATCCCAAAACCCCAGCAAAAGGGTCTTTGAAACAACCATTCTGATCCCCTTCCAACACCTTATGCTGAAAGCCAGCATTATTATAAGGGGTGGGACACTTTCATGAACGTTTATGTGCGAGACTGGGCAGATCTGGGTCCTGCTCGGGGATTTTTGTGGGAAGGGAACGTCCGGAGCAACATTTCCTTAACGTCTCCACTCTCCACCAGACCTCTAATCTGTGGGGTGGCTTCTGGAAGAGCTACAACAGTGCTACACAGCCCAAGTATGCTGGGGATGAAAAAGAAAAAAAGGAAAATCCTGCCCTAGTTTCCGTGCCAAATTGACACAGGGCAAGTGCATGGAGAGAGTGAGGGGGGTATGAGTGAGGATCTAAGGCAGTTTGGAGTGTGTTACATAACCGACCTTCTTTTCCAGGTCACAGCTAGTGGGGACAGGATGGGCCCAGCTCTAGGAATGCCTCCGTTAAGTTCACAAAGGATCCCAGAGGCCCGAAAATGTACAGAAATGATCATCATAAAGGGGGTAAACATTCCCATTAATCAGTTTATTCATTAATGAGCTACTGAGAACCACATATATAGGACCAACCGTCTCTTTCTGGCCAATGAAGTACGCAGTCGTTGGTAAAGAAGGTGTGCATTCCTGGCACACTCATGTACAAGGTCACAGAAGTGCTAAGGCAGGTGGACATGCAGAGCTGCCATGTCCCTTAACACACAGGTGGGTGGACACACTGAACCAGACGATGCGCTGACTCAGCACTGACCACCGGCCGCGTTCCACCTCAAAAGGGACCTCGGAGCCACCGACTGTGTGGGGAGCATGAAGGAGAGTCCGGCGCTCACAACGCCGGTGAGTCCCAGGCGTATTTTGGGAACGGCCACGTGATGCCACACGCGACGAGGAGGGGTGACGACTCCAGGGCATGGATGGGCGGAGGCAGTGACGGTGTCACAATGACCCCAAAGCTAGAATACAGCCACTACAAACACACGCACACACAAGCCCTACCGCCAAATTCAAGCACATCAGTGTGTGATTATATATATATATAATTTGTTTTACCTGTTTTTGGACTTACTATCTTTGTGGTGACATTTATAAAAATGTGTCTTTCTCAAAAATAGGAAGCAGACACTCAGTCATACACTGAAGACTTACTCTGCCACCATGTACAGATTGTGGAGGTGACTCCTTGGCACTCAGATTCGGGCCGTAACAGGGGAAGTGAGGTACGGCCGTATTCGCATCTGTCTCTGCGAAAGCTTTCGCACAGAAGCTCGCCTTCCATCCCGCTGACATCACTCACGTCTGGCATTGAGTCCAGTCAGGCAAGAAGAGCCAAACGTTCACATGGAGATGCAGGACTACTCGTCTTACACCTCTCATTCTGCAGACACTTCATCTGTGATGTAACACCCTCCCACCCCCATGGGGAAGGGGGGAGTGGAGATCCCGGCCGTGCCGGCCTGACGGCGGTAATCATCCTGATCCGCTTGCGTAACACACATTTCACACTCTGCCTGGTGATCCAGGTCAGCAGTGTTCACGTCCGCAAGAGCAGGACCAGTCCGGTGTGGAGGGGGCGTCTACAAACTACGGCCCGTGCACAGGCATTCAGCAAGGGGTCGTGTTCAAACTCCAGCACACACATGGGGACAGCTAGCAGGGCATTCTGAAAGCCTCCTTTTTTCAGGACCCCCACCCTCCCCCCAGATGGGACAGGGGGACAGGTACCTCCAAATATTTCATTTGATTTAATTCGTCCCTCCTATAAATAGACCCTTTATTTTGTGGTGTGTCCCCCCCCCCCCCAAGGGCCTGGTGTAGTGCATTTTGTGTGCCCCCCCCCGCCCAAGTGCAACTTTGGGTTGAGCATTGGGGGGGTTGAGGTCTCCACCCATTTAAGAAGGTTCAGGGGATTGTATTGATTGGTTTTGATTACTGGGGAGTGTTATATCCCCCCATAATTTATGCCTATGCCCCACTCCAATAGCAAATGCTCTCCTAAGGCATTGCACCCAGACACCACGGGGGCTACAGCACCTGACCCCGCACTGGCGTTTACATGCACGCTAATGAAGGCGTTACCTATGAGAGAATGAAGCCGGCTGTGTCACAGCAGGGGTCTCAGTAGCGCCCCCCCAAGGTCACCCTTGGTTAGTGAGAGGTCACCTGGATCCACAGGATCTTGGCCAGAGGATATCCCTTTGGAATCATGGGAGCGTTCCAGTTGAAAAGGCTGAATGACTCACTTTGAAATGTAAGCGTGTTCTAGGGGAAAAAAAAAGCTGGGGATTTTCCTGCTCACCCCCAGCACCCCCTTGGTCCGAGCAGGGCACATCTGCAAAGAGCATCTAAAGGCTACCCCCCCCCACCACACTCCCCTCCCCTCCTGCTGCCTATCCTGAGTGGAACACACCAGTCTGTTCTGCCTCTTTTCAGATGATCCCTCAGAGGAGGAAGAATTTTCTGCAGGCAAGGTGGGGGCGGTCTAATCTGAAAAACAAGGT